AGAATGACAGTCCCATCTGTCAGCCATCCTCCCCGGGACCTTCCGCATGCACATCAGCACAACTGGCCCCGTCTGCAGCACAGGAGGCATGCCTCCCGCAGTCTATCAACTATACACGCATAAACAATTATATACAATATTACAGTCAGAAAAACAGCAATTTTCCAGCTCATATTGTTCCTCTACTGTAGCTACTGTTTAATCTCAATGTCACGACAACAGCTCATCCGAATCTGTATAAAACTTGACTGTTTAACAAATGTATATTTTTACATGTCGCCAAAATTGCCAAAACTCAGTAGTTTCTAACTAATTCAATTAGAGTTACAGCAAAGTCAAAGAAATGCTCACCCTCTTACATCTTGAATACTTTTGATTGTAAGATCAGAGTAACCTACCTGATATATAAATCCTTTATTGTGGTCCACTGAGAGCATGATGCGCCTCCTGTAAGGTTGGGGCGGGATGCCCGCTAACTCCCCTTGTGCTTGCAGCAATGGTAAGACGAGAGGCTAAGGCTCAGGGCCTGAGCCCCACTCTGGACTGGAGAGTGTTTGTTAGTGATTGTTTATGAGAGACACAGAGAATAGCAGACAACGATAGAGCCAGCTCCTCTGTTGGGCTATCAGTCAAACCCTCTCCTCTCCTCAGCCGCTCTCCTCAGCCGCTCTTCCCATGCTGGAGTATGGCAGCAACCTCACTCCGAAAGCCCCACGAACACAACATAAAAACAAAAGCAGGGAGCTCAGCACAGCTCCGACACTGCCTCTGCCTCTGCCTCCAACGGCTTTCATCCAGGGTAGCATCAAATGTTTCTGACAAGCGTCCATCCGCCAATCCCCCTAGAGAGATTAGCGCTCTGACATCACCGATGCTGTGCTGTGCACAGTTCTGCTCTGCTGAGCCTCCGAGCTCTGTAGCTCTGTTACCTAAGAGAAGCCTAAGGTTGCAGGGAGTCAAAGAACACCATCTTGCATGAGGGGCACTACGCAGCCCCAGTACACCTCACAGCTACACATACCATGGTCACTACACACCTCAAGTAGATGAAGCAGTGAGCAGGGTTGGCGTTGCAGTTTTACTGTATACAGTATGTGCATCTTTAAGTGTATGTGTCTGAGCGTGTGTGTGTGTGTGTGTGTGTGTGTGTGTGTGTGTGTGTGTGTCTGCACAACCTACCTGAGGCAAAGGAGCTGCTCTCTGGCTGTAGTGCATTGTCAGCGAAACTATGATCGAGACATGGTGTGCTAGAAAGGGATCCGGAGGAACAAGCAACTATTTCTGGTGCACTGCCTGAAGTGACTGTCCAATTACAATAATGCTGTCTTTGTGGTCTATGTCATCTGATGTTAGTTTTCAAGATCAAAGATGACTTGTGATATTCACAGATGAAGATGAGACAACAAAATCACACTTCACACTACACTCTCAATCTCACTACAATCTCATTCTGTATATGCCTCTCTCTCCTCATCTTACCATCTGTCTCTTACATTCTCCATCTAGCTGTGTGCCCTCTTCCTCTACCTGTCTCCATGCCCTCTTCATCCTCTTCTTCCACTGACACTGCTATAATTAACTATGGAAAGGAGCACAGCCTGTCTAGGGGGTGGGGAGGCTTCCTGCCTGCCCGCTTGCATGCCAGTTCTGCACAGTCGGATCACCAAAATCAAACAGAGATTTCACACTGGTCCAAGAACACCACGCTCAAAAGAACAAGCCCGGGCAACTCCAGCAGACTTCCTCCGTCTGTTCTCACTGATCTTCTCCAACCCGACCAATCAACCAGCCCTAACTGGACAGCCTGGCAGACATCCTGCTGTTACGTCAGGGTTGTAATTAGGACCACACCAGTAAAAGTCCAAGTCAAATCCAGGACTTTGAGTTCAAGTCAAGAAGTGGTTGACATGAAAGGGGTTCAAGACCAAAGAGATCTTTCTCTTTATCCTTCTATACAATGAATGATACCATTGCCACAGACAATACAGTCAGGGGTAGATTAAAATAATGTAGAGGGGGAATTCAAACAAGGTTACAGTCAGAGCTTCAGTGCTTTAAGTACATAACACTGCAGGTTCACCACAGCCATGTTAATGATTTTTAATGCCAAACGAGATAACTAACAGTGAGACAACACAAGTGATGTTTAAAAGGACTCCATCAAAAGATAAATAAATAATACAACCTCCCTTTTCTTTGTCATGGTGAGTAACAGATGAGGTACGCCCAAAATAAAATTCCTACAGGTCAGTTCCTTACACTTTTCGTACTGATGCAAAATTGAAATCAAACTACACATTTATTAGCGCAGCAGGAATGTTATGACAAATCCAGACATAGTAAACAAGTCCAAACCAGGTGCAAGAGGTGCATGAAAAAGAGTAAAAGCTGTCAAAGAACCAGTTTAAGCTGTCCAAGCCAAAAGCTTGTAAAGAGCGGTATCGATCTCCTCACCTGACTGCTGGCAAGAAAGTGAATAAGGGTGAGTAAGTTTGTTTCTGGAGCAAGACATCAGAAAGCTTTTTGTTTTGTTATAAAATTGCTAAAGTTTACACAAAATATTCTATCTATAGATCTATACTTCCCTCATAGAGCCAGTAAACAGACTTCTTTACTCGTCAATGAGCAGCTTCATGTCCTATAAAACTTAGTTGTTTTCATTCAACTTTACGAGGTTAAGAGGTAGTAATGAGATTTATCCAAATACTAAGATTTAAGATAATCTATTTATGACACAGCAACATGGTATCGTCAGCTTTACCCCAGTTTTGCTTTGACAATTAAACTCATAACTCATGTATCACAAAATGCACCTTTATATTTGTACCTGTTAACACATATCGTACGTTACATTTATCCACCATTCTTACCCTGAATATATCCTTAAATTCCAACAATCTAACAAAGTAACCTCCTACTACGGAAAGCGAGGGTTAACACTGCAGTGATCGAACAAAAAAGGTGAAAAAACATTCCTAATAATAATAATTAGGAATGTAGAAATCCAGTTTGGCCACTGGCAGCCACTTTGTGCTCAGCCTTGTCCTCAGTCTGGCTCACAGCCCACAGTTGCATAAGAAATATTTTGTCAGAACAGATGACAAGCATGATACATCAAAACTCTTCTCTACAGTTGTCTGCTTACACTCCTATCCTGTTGGCTCTTCAAAGCCATTTCACTTAATTCCCATTATCTATTATTAATTATCAACCAGCGTGTTCTCAGCCTTGCGTGGCTGCCAGATGCATAGTGACATGTGTAACTATTGTGATCTAAAAATACATAACATCTGCTAAACAAGCTGGCTAATTAAAGATAGAAGCCAAACACAGCTCTGTAATATTACTGTAGATTATAGTTTATAGAAAACATGGATTCACAGTAAAATGTGATCACAGAGCCATCGGGACAACATAACAGCCTGTAACTGCCTGAAATCTGCCTAATCTTTCACTTTTGTAACTTTCAATTGCTTGCTCAGTGGTAGAAGAAGTATTCACTTAATTTAAGTCAAAGTACCAATACAACAATGTAAAAATACTCTATTACAAGTCAGTTTGTATCAACAAAATGTACTTCAAATATCAAAAGTAAAAGTACTCATTCTGAAATAAAATGTCCCCTGTGACTGATACATTACTATATATGACATTATTAAATGTTTAAGCTAGTTTTAACTACTTTATATACAGTCAGGTAGTTAAGTCCAAATCTGAGGGGTTGTGATATTATTCTTGGGAGAGGAGGGAAGAAAAAACTAATTCTGCAAGACAAATGTATTTTCATTTGTTTTGTTTTCTCTCATTGTTACTTTCATTGTGAAATACTGGATAATTTGACCTCTTTGTGCCTCAAACTGTTTAAATAAGACCATCTGAGATGTTAAGAGGAGAAGTGCATCCTAAGTGGAACTGCCAAAAGCTCATAGACAGCAAAATATGTCAACGGGGCCCAAGACTCAGCTTTTTTTCTTTGCAACGCCAGAGATATACTTGCTTTTAACTACGCATTTGCTTGCCAGTGATGGCTGCCTCACATATCTTGCATCCATTTGGACCGTTAGTTCTGCACGTCCTCAGAAATGAATGCCACGCAGGAAATACTTGGCCCTTCAGGTGCTAAATGCTAGCTGTTATGCTTACCAGCTGTAGTTTGGTGTTGGGCAGGTAATGTACAGTGGGGGGTTTATAGCATTTTCTAACAAAAACAGCTGCCTGCTGCTGCTGCAAACATGGTTGATGCAAACATGAACCAAAACAATAGAATAGCAAGCCATAAAACCAAAACAGTGAGCTGGTTAAGAAAGAACAGAAACAACTATATCTTAAGGAAACTTTAGAAAGAAGTAGTGTATATAGGGGACTATAAAGGGAACTACAACCTGAAATACAACCCTGTGTTGTAAATGACAATAGAATAACCTTGATTATGAGTCGTTATTAATTGACTAGGTCAAAACCTAGTACATGGCTGACCATGTATGACATGCTAGAGGGCTTTTAATTTGAAACAAAGGTTTTGAATTTGAAACGGATACAGGCAGTGGCGGCATTTGGCCAACCAACGGTATAACTCCATCACACAACCACAGACTTTCATGTTTAAAGGGCTGGCCCCACTTGTTGCAGTTCAGCCCGAAATATTAATGATTACCAATACAAATTTTATAGGCGTATCGTATGTTCTCTGTGTAAAATCTGCAACAAATCTAATAACTGTGAAATAAAGAGTAAATGTAATTAATTACCTTCTACCTCAGCTCTTCTTACAACTCTTTACAGACTTGCTTTCATGTAACAACAGCACATTTCTTGTGACCTCCCGTTTTATTATTCGTGCCTTGACCTTCATATTTCTCATTTTATTACTTTTACTATTGATTTTCAGATTCTAACCCTGTGTTTTAAAACTAGTCTTTAACAAGTGCATCAAATTGAGTTATCATTGTTGTTACTGAGCAAATCAATATGACATTGACATGACTGAGAGATGTACTCACCACATCTTTGCTTTCTTGGGAACTTTGTTCCTGCAAGTCAAAGAACAACAAGAGATCAGTCAATGGGACAAAAGCAAAGCATGTGGATACTTTACTGTCACACCAGATGCTCTGTTTAGAAATTCCTGAACATGTAGTAAACTTGTCCCAACTCAAAACAACTGAGAGATATGGCAGTAGCAATGATGCATTCAGACACAGCCCTTCCTGCTGTAAATTAAACATACTCTCGTGCTTGACCTTGGGAACCTGGTAACTTAGCAGGACGGGCTACAATTGGATATTTTGTTCTAGTCATGTTTTTGTTGTCGCATAGTGAGGAGTCCCTGAGATTCTCACCATGCTAACACCTCACATACCCATACACATCCTGGTGAAACCATGACAACGCATTTGCTTGCTGTGTAGGCGGAGGGACAGGGGAAGCAGCAATGACTTACAATAACAGGAAAGAAAGCACACTGCATTGAGACTGCAGGGGAAACAGAACAGCCATCCCACGCCACATCAGGCTTCACTGTACGTACGCCGCGAGCTCTGGAAAACTAAGTCCTCATGTAACACGTCCACAAAATAGGACAAACAAGGAGAGTATTGATTTGCCTTCAGAGCAATCATTGCTTTTAAACATGGTGAGCACAAAGCAAATATATTTCATCTCTCTCCTCCGGCGTTAACTGTGCATCCAAGGCAGCGGACATTTTTTTTTTCTTTCCCCTTCTCGGCAGAGTCTCACCTGAATGCTAATGAGGGGAGGCTGACCGGCAGGAGTAAGCTCTGCCTTCAAGTGGCCCAATGTGTTACGTTGGAGACATGCTCGTTTGATATTCTGCCAGCGGGTTCACTGGGCTCTGACCTGAGTCACACACACATATTCGGCCTGTTTGTTTCCTCTTGTAATCCATCAATATGTGCTACAACCTGAACCCACACTGGAGAGAATATATCTCAGTGAAATAAATAAGACTTTGGGATGCTTGTGTAGCATTTCTCTGTCTCTCAGGTTGATGGATGGTGATTTCAAGAGCTCCGGTGGGTACAGGACTATCACATGTGAAAGAATCTGATTACCTTTTTTTTTTTTTTTAATGAATTTCTGTGCATATGCTCTCAAAATGAGTACAAATAGGCCAAATGGAGTAATAATCCCGTGAAGCCTCTCATGGAAAGATGGAAAGACAGCAAGCTTGTTACATCCAACTGATGAGGCATATACCTCCCTGTGTCTCCTCGCTGTTAGGATCAAACACTTTATCCTCTCATCTCAGTGCAACATCTTAGGCCAGCAGTACTGTATACTTAAAGCAACAGCTTGACAGCAGGTTTCATAAACACTACAAAAACTGGGTCGACTGGTAGACCATATGATTTGGCTGGAAGGCAACATATTAAGGAGCCTCTCCATGCAGGTAGTGGGGCGCAAATACATAACTGTGTGCACACATATGTGCTGTGTAACATTGTATTAACCTGTACAGTGACTCTCAAATGCCTTCTGTTTGAAGGTGTAGGCGTTTGTAGTGAAAGAGGTAAAAAAAAAAAAAATTGCTCTAATATAAATCGTGCACACGGTGAAAACATCTTTTTTTTTCAATTTATGGTGCGCAACATCCATGTTTGTCATGAAATGACGACACACAACCAGTAAAGCAGTGAAAATATGGGTCATTTTGAAATACAGAGGTATTGAATATGAATCCTACACTGATGGGACGTTTCATTACAACTGTGCCTGCTTTATTCTAAAGAGAAATTAAGATGATGAACAGCAGTCCACTCCGCTTTGTGTAAGATCCACAGCTAACAACAGATGAAATTGAACACAACAATAGCGTGTGTATTTGATCTTACCGTTGGTAAGAGCGGCTCCATTTGAGCTCCTTGATCCGTGATGTCCATCTTTTCTTCTCCTTGGCTTCACAATAGACAAGTCGTGATGCGCTACTGCGCTTCTGTCAAACGCTGCTTGAAGACAAGGTTGGCTTTTGTGATTTCTTTTTCCTTTTTTTCCCCCCCCTCACACATTCACCGGCCGGGTTTTCTCAAATGGAGGTAGCACAGCATTCCCGTCCTGCCCTACATAATTTACGCATGAAGGAGGGAGGTAGTGCTTCCCATTACACGCGCTGAGCCCTGGACGCGGCAATAACGAGGCGCACAAGTGAGAAGCGGAGCCACTCTGCGCACACTTTTATCCAGAAAATCCATTCATGGGGGCTAATCCTTCAGCTACATGTATTTATAGCCACAAAAAAAACGTGGATATATTTTTGTGTATAGGAGTAGGCGCGTGTATCACTCAATTTAAAGCGACCTGGCGTCTCATCCATATGGTGTCCACGTTATATATATATATATATATATATATATGCAGCCATTTATACTTCTACGGGATCTCTTTGTCTTGGGGGTCTGATTCATTTTGGCTGTGAAATCCAGTGTAAAGGCAGCAGCTACAACCACACACTCATGTTGCAAAGCCTCCTTATTGTAGGCAGTGTGTCTTATTGGAGCGACCCATGTGGATTTTCTAACCCACTATATAGCCGGCGCCATACAGGCCGCAGCGACCACTGTGCTCCCGATCTGTCCTCGCTGCAACTACAAAGCACATTGAATGAAATGTTACTGGCGACAGTAGAAACACCAGCTGCATCAATGCACTGGTTAATCACGGCATTGTCTCGAGCTGCAGCACGCGATGGTGCACCAGCAGCAGCATCCTGATTACACAAGGATGCTGCTCGCAGGGGAAGATTATACACTGGCGCCCTCATCTGGTGAAACACGAGAAACGTTAATTAGATCCAATTAGCGCTGCTGCACTGCAAACAGCATGGGTTGGAAAATCACTGGAATTGGATTTATGTTGTCTCAGTTCAGTGGTAGACTATAATGCTGCTACATTAATGTCAGTATTACAGAGGACACAACACAAAAATAGCTAAGATCTTAATGTGTTAATTGTAATTTATAATTAATGCAGCCTTCTATAATGCAAAGTGGATTTTGGAATAATAGTAAATTAAGCAGTGATTCCCACAGTGAGGCCCAGAGCCTCCAGGGTCCCTGACAGGCTCCCACAAGGTCCCATAGTAATCTGAGAGGGGACTTCATCAGTAGCTCTTATTTTAGTTGGGTTTTTAAAGGATACCATGCATTATTAATTAGATTAATGGCTGTTTCTCAGGCTGTCTGGACTGAATCACAGTTATCAATTGGGACTTCTCTCAGATGGGATCCTGTGGTACACACACACACACACACACACACACACACACACACACACACACACACTGCCATAACAACACGCATCTCTAGAGCAGTGGCTCCCAACCTGGGGGGTCCGGACTCCCACTAGGGGCCACCAAAGCCTCACGGCGGGTCATAAGGTCTTCTTGATTTTAAGGGGTGTAAGAAAACTTTAAAAATAATACTCAGTGGACCTATATCCCAGCTGTTTGTCCATTTCTGTGAAGAAAACTACAATAAATTGTTATTTTTTTAAGTTAAGATTATTATTTAAGATCTAAACTTTAAAGACCGGTTCCTTAATATATCTGGAAAACTTATCTCTGATCAGGAAAAATGTTAAATCACTCATATTATACAAACTTCCTGCAGCTATTCCCAATTTATATTCACTGTACTGTCCATCAGCTGTTCTCTGTTATTGTTATACATTGAATATAATGGGAAATATCCATAAAACATGTCACTGAGTCAAGGTTGGGGACCACTGCTCTAAAAGTACCAAAACTTTTTGGGTTTTTTTGGGTGGTGGTGGTGAGGGAGAGGGGGGGGAACCTCGGTCCATCCACCTGGCAGCAGAGGAGTCAGGATGTTGTTGTTGATCCGGATCCGGATCCGCCCAGCCAGGCGTCACAGCACCGACAAGATGGCCGAGACTACGGGACGAAAGTGAGGGAGGAAACAAAAACACTGGCGAGCTACCCCCCTTTTGCTTGCCGCAGACGCCAGACCCCCGTAGAGCAGCTTGAAGACAAGTGAAAGCACAGATTAAATAAAAAAAAAAAAAAGAAGCTCAGTCACCGGCGCAGTGAAGCCTCCGTCCCTGTGGCTGACATTTTGCGGTATGCAGACTGTTTGTGCTCCGAGCAGCTCGCTGACGGAGACCGTCCGTCAGGTTGTCTGCGTTGGCTAGCTAGCCAGCGAGCTAACCATGCTAGCGAGCTGACAGCGCCGTTAGCGAGAGGCTACGCGTCACAGAAAAGTGACAGTCTGCTGATTTTGAGAATAAATAGTTGTCGCTACTTTTTTTTTTTTTTTTTCCTCTCGTAGATGTAAATAGAGAAAAAGAGAGGAGGAGGAGGAGGAGGAGAGGGGGGGAGGAGGATTTAACGCACCAGGTAACGCTCAGCAAACTAACATTGCGGATTTCTTGTTAGCATTAGCCAAACGTCTGTTAGCTTGCTCAGCTGTTTTTGGAGAACTTGGGTTTGTTCCCACACAGAGGGGAAGGACGGGGGGGGGGCTTTTTTTTTTTTTTCCTTCTCCCCATCTCCATATATATATATATATATATATATATATTAAAAAAAAAAAAGTACCTGAGGCGGTTCTCGGTAAGGCCCTGTGTCCTGGACGGAGGAGTGCTAACATTACCGGACCTACACGAACACAAGTCGAGCCGAGGGTCTCTGCGTTGTTGGGACGATCCAGTCAGCATCACCATGGCCCACTCTCCCGTCCAGGGCAACCTGCCGGGGATGCAGGTAAGTCACGTTTGAGTCTGTGCCGCAATAAGTAAGTTGAGTTCACTGCCAGAACAAAATGTCCACACTTTTGACTCCCTGCTGTTGGGTTTGTGCACACCTTTACTCGGATTTGGCATCTTTGGATTCAAGCACACTTTAGTTGAATCTCTAAGTATTTAAAAGATCATGCTGCACTCGGGTGTTTTTTTTTTTATTATTATTATTAAACGAAATGCCACAATTCAACTAAACAGAAGTCCTATAAAGAAAAAAAAGTTACTGTACATCTCTGCTTGTTATTGTCATGTTGACAGCTTGTCTGCCACTGAACGCCACATCTCCTGCAACAGTAAGATGCGCATTGAACGCAAAATTCCGATATTTTAGCCATGACTTGAAAGCACTAGAGCTCTGTGGGTCCCCTGTACAAAGAAACTATTATGCACACATGAGCCTTGTTCTTGCCTGTGCTGCTATCTTTAGGATTTTGCCTATAGGGGATAATTGTGTTGGGTAGATAACTAGAGGAGATAACTGTTCCTAATGTAAACTGCCTCATGCACCAGATTATAACCCCCCCACCCCCTGCGCAGGCTTGTTAGCAGATTTCTCTGGTTTACAAGTAAATGCATGCAGATTCAGAATCAGGGGGAGGATGCATCAGAGGCAGACAAACTGCTGGGACTTTGGCACCATTAAAGGCTCTAGTCCATTTAGAGCATAATAACTCATGTTACGCTGTAAAGACGGTTCTGCTGCCAGTCAGGTCCGTTCCCAGCGATTGTTCTTGAATTAAACTGCAGGACACAGACGCAAAGTGCAATCGGAAAGAAATATATACAGGTTTAAAATCTACAAGTTTAATTCAGGCAGCAGAAGTTTGGCTCGAAGCTCTTGTTCCAGTTTGAACCCTCGTTCTCGAACAAAGCATCTTATTGTTTTTAATAAGATATGACTCATCACTTTAATGCTTCTTAATCCGTTCTGCATCACAGTTTCCATTAGCAGAATCACTGTTTAGTTTCTTGAATTAATCTCCTTCGTGACACCCGAAGGATCTTGGTTTGTGACATAAGGACCCCCCCCCCATCTAGCGTAAGGTGGCTGTTTCATTTTTCATCTCAAAACAGCCATATTGACCCTTCTCTCTGCTCCGAAAAGGTCAGAAGAGGGAGTTGTTTTTGTCGGCGCCTGCTCTTGTGTTTCCCACATAACAGCCTCTGGAGAGTTAAGTCATTTTAGTTCACTTCCTGCGGCGTTCAAGTAGGTTTTTTTTCTCCCCCATTCATCACTCAGATGCTACAGTGTGCAACCCCAGAAACACTGCAAACATGGCGTGTCATTGGAACACATTTTCATGCTTTTTTTTTCTGACTAATAAACACAAACAGTGTCTGATTTGTCTCCCCTGTCCTTCTAGCCTCAGTTTTAATTATGTCTCAGAGCGCCAACAGTGCTTTTTGGCCGAAAAAGTAATAGGAAGTTAGACATTTTTCATCATTTCATCCCAGCGCAAACTGGCTCATTTACAACTACAGCTGTCCAAAACCCAGAAAAACAAGAAAGAGGGTGTAACTATGGGTGACATACAGGGTCATTTTAATCACTTTTGTCCCTGTCAGGTAATCTTCATACTCTCAACAAGGTGTGCATGAAGTTGTGATGACTGATGGGATGCAAGCCCTGACCCCGTCACCTTTTGTAGAAGCGCGCTTTTGGCTGAATTTTGGCTTGCAGCACGGCATTGTGGTTGTACATAATTGTAGTTCTTATTTTAAATCACTTAAGACTTCACTGCAGTCAACACAGAGCAATCAAGCCAGGACTAAAAGTTACTTTTAGCGTCTTGATGGAAACCTTGAAAAAGTATTTTTTACTTTTACTAAGAATTCTTTAACTCGTACGTCAAACTGGTTTTATACAAACGTGCCGCACAATTACTTGATTAACTGACATGTCAAAAAAAAATTTTTAGCCTCTCAGATAAGAAGAATTCCTGCTTCTACCTGTTTACATTATTGCTAATTGAATATTTTGGGGTTTTAGACAGACAGTAAAGCCCAACAGTGCAGCGGGCTGTTGAAAGGCCTTAAATGTTATTTTACGCTCACATTTTGTCTTATTTAACCTGCATGTTATCCAATTGTTACACTCTCCCTTTCTTTCTCCTGTGTCTTTCTTTCCTGTGTACACAAACAAGGTGTTGAAATGAATGAATTAATGTATCCTGTAAGAATGGCACCCTGCTGCTAGCGTTTCCTATTTGCTCCCCAGCATTCAGTTCTTTTCAAACATTTGTTTTTCTTTCCTTTTTTATAAAAAAAAAAAAAAAATCCGCCTTCCCTTTCCTCCTCCTTGCTTTGTTCCCGCCTCCCCGTCCCCACCAGAGTGCCAAAGCTGACCCAGAGGAGCTGTTCACCAAGCTGGAGCGCATTGGCAAGGGTTCGTTTGGCGAGGTGTTCAAAGGCATCGACAATCGCACCCAGAAAGTAGTGGCCATCAAGATCATAGACCTGGAGGAAGCGGAGGACGAGATCGAAGACATTCAGCAGGAAATCACAGTGCTGAGCCAGTGCGATAGCCCCTTTGTCACCAAGTACTACGGCTCATACCTGAAGGTTTGTTTCACACATACATGGACAGTGTCTTCCTGTTTCCCCCACGAGTCAAATACCAAGTGAGCAAATGCGATGAGACATAAAAGGATTTCTCTTCCTCTACCCACTTTCCCCCTGAATAATCCGAAATTAAAAAGGGATTAGCCTCAGACGACTTCAGACACCCACCAAGCCCTTATTAGTGTCATCATGACTTGTTTAGGAGTCATTTTAAGAATGCACCTGACTCTCGGCAGCTCGCAGTAAGCCAGTAACCGCCTTCATGAGCAAACTGTGAAATGCACCATGGTACTAAATGACCCCTTTCTTTCTCTGCTCTTCCAGGACACTAAGTTATGGATCATTATGGAGTATTTAGGTGGAGGCTCAGCATTAGATTTGGTAAGTGATTCCTGCTTCATGTTTTTGTTGCACTGAGCTCCGTACCGTGTCCCTGATCACCCAAACAGACTATAAAATCCCAGTGTTTCCCCAGAAAATTGATTAGCGGTAGTAAGCACTTCCCACCATCCCCCAGAATAGGGCTGGGTGATTTAGTTTTGATTTTTTAAAAACAAGATAATCCAGATAAAACGATTATTGTTCTGCATTTCCTTTACAGCGGTGTGCTTTCGCCCCTCCTCTACGCAAACTCACTCTCAGCCAGGCTGTGGCATGCGAGTTCAGAGAGCCATTGGCTGTATTCACACCAAATCGGGTGTGATGGAGATTGCTGCGGGGTTGTGCGTGCGTAACCGCTGTGAAATGATCAGGAAATGACGTTTATTTCTCTGATTCACTGGCTTTCTCTCCACCACTGCTCCCTGTCCTACTTGTACTCTGTGAACTTGTTTTAGGAGAGCACGCAGGGACGGCCATGAGGCCCTATGAGTGTCCAAAAACCTTGTGCGAAGTTAGAACAGAGACAAAGAATATGATAGGTTGCAGCAGATGTATCCACTCTCTACAGCAATGACTGCCTGACCTCACTGTTTCTTTCTCCGCATGGAGGTACAGTGGGTTGGCATATTCAATAGAAAGACAGAAAGGAAGAGAAAAGGAAGTAAAAGAAGGGAAAAAACTGTTCTTAACACAGTTGTGAGTAACAATGTAATTAAACACACTGTTTGCAGACCTGGACAAATCACACCTAGACAATCTTGATGCATTTATATTGCTCTGTGTAAATGGGAAAACAGGTTTAATTTGATAAGGCTGGTGATATTCTATATTTATGTTACTGTCAACAAATCCCATGAACAGAGCAAAATCAACAGTGTGTAAATCTGGGGGCGTCTCAAAGCCTCAAGCCCATTCATTCCTACTGAAGACGTAACTCTTTAAAAACAGCTCACAAATATATAGTTTCATTTTTAAAAACGTCTCAGTAATTGTCACTGAAATTTTGAGGGGCGCGCTTGATTAATCCACATTTGTTGCTCTCCTGAGTATTTGTGACAGCAGGACAGTGGATGTGGGATTGAGTCAAAATAAACTACAGTGTCTGTGTTCCTTGTAATGAAGGAACATTTCACCCAGTGCAACAGTGTGCCTCACTGATGTGTTTCCCATGATTTTTAATCAGTTTAATCATTGCTGGTTTGGGTCTTTTCATGGGATTTGTTCAATATGAAAAGTATATCACCAGACTTATAATTTAATATAATTTTAGGCAAACTGCAAAGTTACTCATTGCTCCTGCTCTAGCCCTGTAGGATTAATAATCATCCACTGTGAGGCTCCGCCGACACCCACAGCTCACGGTTTGTATTTGTTTCTCTTCTAAAGATGGAGCCTGGAGCTCTGGACGAGACCCAGATCGCCACGATCCTGAGAGAGATCCTCAAGGGCCTGGAGTATCTGCACTCTGAGAAGAAGATCCACAGGGATATCAAAGGTAGCTGACCGACTGAGAGTGCAGCTATTAGTGGACGCAGGTTTCATCTGACTAAATGGCAACGGCGAGCACACACACAAATATCACATAGCACGTTAATGGTATTGACGTCCACTTATAATTTCATTCATTATATAGTTTGCGTTTCATCGGGGGAGTTGAGACGAACGCTGCAGGGGTTCGCTAAAAGGCTTCTGACAGTTGTTCGCTCTTCATTAAATAAATTGGTGATAACAGATAAATAGCACTGACAGACCCAGCGTCTCACTCGGCGTGATCGCATAAAACTTTCCGTCTGTTCCCCCCTCCCGCAGCCGCCAACGTGCTGCTGTCCGAGCAAGGAGAGGTGAAGCTGGCAGATTTCGGTGTGGCGGGACAGCTCACTGACACTCAGATCAAACGCAACACGTTTGTTGGCACGCCTTTCTGGATGGCCCCCGAGGTCATCAAGCAGTCGGCGTACGACTCGAAGGTAAGGTCACAAACAATGTGTCATCACACTGTATGTTATGTTCGCTCACACTCTTCGTGCTATTCCTCTGTCACTTTCAAACACTACTAACAACCAATGCTGTCAGACTACACCCTGCTCAAGTTGTGAACATCAGTGTTGTCGACACTTCAGTGATAGAAAGCAGGAAACCCTATGGTGCTACTACTTTAACACCACATACTAGGGCTCTACAAGTCCACAACCAACGTATATGAGATAAATAAGTATTTTTTCCCTAGTAGACGAGGTTGCAGTGGATTTAGTCATGGAACCCCTCCCATTACTTAAATGCTTTTAGTATTCAATATCTTGAGAGTATTCAGCTGGCTGATGAGAGGTGTTTTGTCTCGAGCTCTCACAGCATCATTACCACATTTCACAGGTTTTTTTTTTAATCTGCGGATGAGGTATTCAGCTGTGGGACACCACAACCGCCTCCTCCTCTCCACAAAAAGTCGGAAGCCGAGTAGCTTTCACTTTGCAGACACATTTCAGTGCTTTGGTCGACTCAAAGGCTTGTTGAGGGCTGAGATGCGTCAGTATTTCTTTGATCCCTATACAGTGACAAATCTTTCCATTGCTGCTCTGACAGCCACTATTTCTGACTGCTGTGCACCTGGAAAGCGTGTCGTGTTACTATGACAACATGCGACCAATCTTTGCTGCTTCATAATTAATTATGTTTTTAATACGGTGATTCTGATGTTTTTTTGGTGAGAAATAACGATTGTAAACATTATTTGTGTTTGTTTGCAAGAAAACTCCACAGGGCGCCTTTAAGGCACCACTGATTTTCAGTATGCACAGTCATCTCCAGCAGCCCACGACTGACTTTTAGTATGAAGTCAGTCTAATTGTTGGCTGCTTTCCTACATGAGTTATTTTGAGCACAGTTTTTGGCTACTGTACCCACCTCTGGTGAAAGGTCAAGGGTTTCTACAGAGGTTGTGCTGGGATTAATTTGCTGCACTTACAATAAGTGCATCTCAACAGAATAATTGTTATTAAAATAAATTAAAATCAAAATAGATGAAGTACCACAAGGTTGAGGAAAGATCGTTCACTGAAGAGATGTATGCAAGCCCCAAAAAGACTAACAAAGTGGTGTATTACTTTGGGAAGGATTATGAGTAGCTGTGATTGTTGCTTATCTTGTATATTTTTGTATAAATATTATGTATGCCAAGTTATCGCCATGTCTGCTTGTGCATTCCAGGCCGATATCTGGTCTCTGGGCATCACAGCCATTGAGCTGGCAAAAGGCGAGCCGCCCCACTCAGAGCTCCACCCCATGAAGGTTTTATTCCTCATCCCAAAGAACAACCCGCCCACGCTGGAGGGCAACTACAGCAAACCGCTCAAGGAGTTCATCGAGGCCTGTCTCAACAAAGAGCCCAGTTTTGTGAGTAGTTTTTCCACATTTCCGGATATATTTTTAATCCGCTACGATAACTCAGACTTTCGGTGTTCAGTTCTTCCTGACTGCTTCATGTGCTCATCCCCTCATTTCCACAGAGACCAACTGCCAAAGAGCTGTTGAAGCATAAGCTGATCGTTCGCCATGCGAAAAAGACCTCTTACCTGACTGAGCTGGTGGACAAGTACAAGAGGTGGAAGGCAGAGCAGTCGAGAACCACAGAGTCCAGTTCTGATGAGTCTGACTCGTAAGTCTGATCCCATCCTCGCTTTAGTTGTTTGGAAATACACCAGTGAGTTCTATTTGTAACTCAAGTCTTCTTTATATTGCCTCTCTTTTTGTTTTTACTGCATGCTACTACGCCAACAGCTCTTTTTACTCCCATTTGTACAAAAATAACTTTGACACAAACACATCCTGCTGAAGGAGAGAATCATCCTCTGTGCTGCTTTCCTCCCACATTCGTTATGATGAGCTTTAAGCACTTAACACACATGACTTCATTACTCATCCCGATAAATGTTCAAAGCCTCTTTTTAATATCTGTCCAATCAGAGAGCAGGACGGCCAAGCGTCGGGCGGGAACGACTTTGGCAGCGATGACTGGATCTTCACTATCCGAGAGAAAGACCCCAAGAAGCTGCAGAACGGGGAGGGACAGTCAGCAGACCAGGTGAGACAGGAGCTTAAAAAACAGATCGTTCTTCCAGGTTCTGATTTCCTGTCTGAACTCTGACAGAAGCTATCTTCATCTTCTTCTTCATCCCACTGTTGAGAGATCAAATTTGCAGATAATGTGCACAATTTCACAAGAACTAACCCGTGGTAAGATGGTGGAATTATGCACACCGTACTGATTTAAAAAGATTCCCCCTAAGGTGAAGCTGCACTACTTTAATTTCCTTCCACTCCCCTCGTTCTTACGTCTCTCTCTCTCTCTCTCTCTCACTCTCACTCTCTCTTTGCACAGACAAAAGACATTCCAAAGAGGCCTTATTCACAGAGCCTGGGCACAGTCATCTCTCCTGCATTAGCTGAGGTAAGGAGCTCCATCTGGATAACCAACCGGCCACGACTAGGCCAACATAGAAGAGACTTTCGTGCCTGAAATTGACCCTTTTATCAAATTGGTCATCTCATGTAGTCTGTCTCTCATCGATCTAACCAAATGTCGGCCTCCTCACCTTCTCATCACTCCCAGCTGAAGGCGAGACAGGAGCAGGTGAATGGGAACCCCATGGTCCTGGATGAGCTGAGGGAGGCCATCCTGCTGGCTGAGGAGGCCTACCCAGGCATCTCCGATTCCCTGGTGGCTCACATGGTCCACAGGCTCCAGAGGTAACAGACTCTACACAAAACAGAATCCTTAATCACGTAATCCATTTTTGTTTTAAATGTATGCAGTAGATGATACTAATTCTACCATTCTTTTATTTTTCTTGCAGTTTCTCCACAAGCAGGACGTCCTCCTCCTCTCCCTAGTAATTGGCTCTCTGCCCCAGCCCTGCTCTCCCAGGCCCCCACCCCCCCAACACCACAGCCAGGTCAGAGGGTTAAAAGCCAGGGGTCAAGTCATTCAATACCAGCTGACCAGGTTTGACCTCCCGTGTCGGGGGGGAGGGCTAATCTAGCCTGTAAAAATTACTGAACTCCAAAGCGGAGGATAACAGAAAGACTCTGGAGAGCTTCTTTTAGCCACTTACAAGAGGAGAAGTTGGGGGGGGGGCAGCAGAACCCATGGAATCAGCTGTTATGGGACAGGACTCTAAGTCAGAGCAACCCACAGGAAAAAAAACGGCAACAGCCAAGTCAGACTCTGGGCTCTCTGTATATGCGAGACTTCCCCAGCCTCACACCGCGGAGTCCCTACACGGAATTTGCTCGACGAGGAGCCCGAAAAATCTCCCCCAAATCCAAGACAAGACTTCAATCCCCCTCTTAATGCAGGCGTCATATCCCCAGAACCTCTGAAAGCATGCTTGATGAACCTGCAGGGATGTTCTCTTTAGTGTACAAGCTGCGTGTGTGCGTGTGTGTGTGTGTGTGTGTCTGTGTGTGTGTGTCTGTGTGTGTGTGTGTTTAAATGCACAACCTGTGTGTGGGCACCTGTGAGTGTGTCTGTCTGTCTGTCTGTCTGTGTGTGTGTGTGTGTGTGTGTGTGTGTGTGTGTGTGTACACACGTGTGCTCTCGCATATGTAAGACTCCCTGGTGAGGCAAATTGCAGCATTCTTAATGAAACCTCAGGTAAAGTGCTTTAAGTGGACTTTGTCCTCCGAGGCAGTGGGAGGAGGAGGGAAAGAGGAGTAGGAGGAGGAGGGGGGTCGCCATGCTGTACATGATTACGAGTTGTCATTGCGGGAAATGAATCACTGTGTACAAAATGGTCATGCGCATTTTGTAGATATTGATAATGTTTAAAAGTAGATATTTAAAAATTTCAAAAAGTTACTCCAACAGAAAGAACAGAAAATGCCTTGCCTTTTTGAGATACACACGTCTACGTTCTGGCATTTCAGAGATTTTAGTTTGTTTCCATTTACTCGTCGGTGAGTGAAATTCAGTATTCATCAGTGTTTTCTTACTAAGTGACTGAGCTCCAATCTCCATTTCAATCACCTGCTGAATCATCCAACTAACTATGATACTAAGCTTACTTTGTGTAGAGGCAGAAGCTTTCCTTTGTTTTTGTAGTCAGGGGGGAAAACTTCCCCCCTGCACTTATGTTTAGACAATTTAAGTCAGTTTTAAAATTGTTTAGAACAAGAATGAAGGTAGATCTGTCGACAGTGGCTCTTTAAATAAGGATAACAAATACTGAGTGAAGCCGAGGACAATTACAAGGGGAAACCACTACGGGCGGATGAACGCTGATATCATGTGAAGTATTATTATTTTTTCCTTGGCTTGTAATTTATCCTTAGTGTTAATTAAAAACTATAAAGTGGAGGCGAGGAGTAACTGGCGAGGACCATCGTAGGCAATCGCATCATGACACTCGCTCACGGCCAAACTAAAGCGCAGATCAGGACAAGCCAAGCTGCAGAGATCAACGCCATCCTTATTTCCTCACTCCAGACATTTCTGTTCTCACTTCCACACCATGCTAGAAGTGCCATGTCCTCTTTTATGCTTTCACCAGATGTTTGTAGTATGATTTGCACCTTTTGTTTTATTTTTTTTTATATTTTTCAGATTAGTATTTTTTTTTTTTTTGCACTTTAAAAAGTGTCGAGTATTTAAAGAAAACCTGTACGAGGAAAAAAAAAAACAAAATGAAAAAAGTTGCTAATAGCCATGTTTTACTATATATGTTTACTTAAGAGTTCCAGAATTTACTACTGTGCTAATGCAGCAATAATGTTGAGGAGTTGCATCAAGACGCACTTGTCAACACAGGGATCGAAAGAAATTAAGAAATATCTGATATTTTTATAACTGCAAAGAGTTAAGTATGGAAATATGGAATGCTTTATGGATATGGGCACCTGCCTCTGGCAAAAAAATATCTATACCTTACAGAAAAACATATGCTACGGAAATAACTACAAAATGTGTACATTTGGTCTCCTTTATCATAGCTGACAGTTTATAGTACTGTATATAATCTTTGCTTGTGTCATTTGAGAATTCCCAAGTTAAATGTAAGCTCCTTGTAAGCTTTCAAAGTGACATGAGAAATAAAGATCTAATGCTAACTGAGAACTTTGTGTTGGGCATGTCTCATTTTCTGGAGATAGGTAGGTGTGTGTGTGTGTGTGTGTGTGTGTGTGTGTGTGTGTGTGCCTGTTAAAACATCAACATGTTAACATTTAGTTACAGAGGCCATATTGTGCTCATGTTCAGGTCCATACTTGTATTCTATGATAGGTTTACAGGCTTAAATGTTCAAAAACACATCATTGTTGTCACACTGGTCATTGCAGCTGCACCTCTGTTCACTCTCTGTCTGACGCTCCCTTACACTCTGCTCTGATTGGTCAGCTCCCACAAGCCCTGAACAGGCCCCGCCCACCATGTGTCTGCAGTAGCGCCGCTGTTTGTTTTTAGCAATGAGCAAGCTAACTTAGCAGCTGGGTGCTAATTAAAGTTTGAACAATGTTTTCAAGCAAAATAATGACTGTAATGTGACTGTTTTTCTTTTCAAACACAGTTATATCGTTACGTTCAGGGCATGTCTATCAATTTATTTACATACAGCAGCAACATAAACACACACCTACTCTACTCTATTTATTTAGCTTCAAACAAGGTTTACTTTCACACAATTTCTATTTACTGTCCCTCAATATTACAACATAAGTTCAGCTTCACCCTCCGCCTGCTACCACATTACCTCTGCACTACATGCTAACACCAAGTTCAGCAGACTAACCAACAAAATAAACAGTAAAACAACAAAAACACGGTAAAACTTACAGCTTCCCAAGTGTGAAGTGGGTCACGGACAGCCAGTATCGATCCAAACACTCACTTCAGGATATTTCCGTAACCAATAATAAAGTTACATTGCTGGCTCTTGTCTTCCTCAGATGACAGCAGAGCAATTCCTGTTACCTCTAAGCTCTATATTGGCTCTTTTTCATAACCAATTATTTTTTTCCTCAGACATTTCCGCCACATTTCCATCAAAAATAACGTTAATCCACCGGGTCTTCACTTCCTATCAGTAAACAACAATGGCAGACAGTGGCACTAGGTGTCAGTGGGCAGGACTGGACTGTCACCTAGCCTATCAGGTGTTTCTCCGTCAACGTTTCCTATGCACAAAATATCTGTATAACAAACTAAAGCACATGGAAAACCCCCTAAAAAGCATAATATGGCCTCTTTAAAAGCACCAATGTGCCTAAATACAGCCTCACAGAGCTCCTAGTATGATTCCTGTTGATGATCTGGATCTAGTTTCTCAAATAACCTTATCTTTTATTGTGGTAAATTAGAAAATTACAGTACAACACACAGTGTACACAAGGATGAAGACTGTCCGAAAACTGGGAGTACACCAAAATCTGATGTTTCTGTTACTGTGTATATATAAAAAGGTTTTGTATTCAGAACAATATTTGACAGAATGAGATTGCATAGATTTAAAGAAACCTGAACCAGCATACGTTTGTTGACAAATCTTTATTGAAGACCTTGGTGAGCAGCCATTGTCCCAGGCCAGAATGAACTCTGAGGGTTGGATATGGAATATGATTAAACATTTTCTGACTGAATAAACAGTCTTTTGCTGTTAGATTTTTCCTCTGGAGCAGATGAGGACATCATATACATATAAAACAGTGGCAATATATTACAATACATACAACACTGTGCTTGGAAATAAATACAAATGTTGGAATGGTTTCATTGTATGCGTACTCCAGTACAGTACAAAAGCCTATGAAACTAAAATTACATAAAGATGTTGCTACACAGTGCAAAATAAATCATTGTAAAAACTAATTTACAACAGCCAAAGCAGAAATTACTAACCACTTAAGATCCAGGGATTTTAATTATACGTATAACCTCTAAAAAAGGAATATTCTCTCAATATTTTGAGCCGAAATGGTGACAAGAGTGTTTGAATTATCCCTGCCAAGATTCTCCACTAACACTGTCTACCAAGAGCTTAACCATCTAAGCTCTGCGTCTGTGTTCGTCCAACATCAGCACCATGTCACTCAGGTCATCCATTCATTCTAACCACTCCATGTCCAGCAGTGCAACAGACTGCATTGACAAAATGACCCCCCCAAAAAAGAAAAAACTTCATGGCACAGGCACTCTCAGATATAAAACACAGAACCAAGCAGCATTTGTCTACGAGGGAGGGATCGCTTTAGATCTTGGTCTGTTTGGTTTCCTCCTCGTCAGAGCTGGAGTCAGAACTCCTTCTGTCCTCCTTGTGGTGCTCAACCGAGTCCTTCTTGGCCATCTCCAAACTCTTCCTCTTCTCCTTATCTTCAGGCTCCTCGTGGGCAAACTCGGCTTCTATCTTGGCTGGGTCAAGGTAGGTGTAGAAATAGGCCATGACGGCAAAGATGATGCACACTAAGATCAGCAGAGAGGCGAAGAGGATGTACTCGGCCCACTGGTGAACAGAAACACACACAGTTTGACATTTTAGGAAAAACCTCGAGATGGATGTTCTTGCTCATGTCACAGCGGTTTTATAGTGAAAGAAGAAATCATTTTTTGGCCAGTGATGTGTTAGGTTAAATAGTTTTTTAAAAGTTCTTGTGTTTTTCAATCCACACACCTGATCTGGGAGCGTTGCAGCCTCAGCGACAATGAGCACAATGATGTTACCGACAGCAACAGTTAGCAGCCAACCAGCCTGCAGCACAGACTTCATGTTGCTGGGTGCCTGGAGAGCAAAAGGAGATTCAAATACAACAACACATTATAAAATACATCATAGTCAGGGTACTGTTTTAGGTTCTCTGTGTTTTGTGTTTTCAGTTGTTCACAAACAGCTTCTGCAGTGTTGTCTGATATGTGAGGGAAGCAGCCTGTACCTGTGAGTAGGAGAACTCCAGTCCGGTGACAGAGAAGACCACCTCTCCTGCAGTGATGAGGAAATACTGAGGAATCTGCCAGGCCATGTGGATGGTGTTAGGCTTGATGTCAACCACTGGCTGGATGCTGTTTTCACACTACAGGACACAGACAGGTACCAAGATGTGTGACCTCAATCAAAAGAAGTTACATTCAAGCTATATTATGTGATTCAAAATGTATTTGTGAGTTACATTTGGTCCAAATGCGAAAGTTGGCGGGATGATCAAAGTGTACGAGCTGCCGAAGCCCAGTTTCTGAGTGTAGACACACTCTTGTCCTCTATTGTCCCTGATATGGAACTGTGCACTGACATAACGAAAAAAAAAGTCAGAACAAGGTAACTTCTCTGGTATAACTGGATGTGACATATATATAAATATATATATAAAGGAATATCAGCCTTACTTTCCCTGTGGTACCGAAACATATTCTGACATGTTGTTGGTGATGGTGTTCCCAAACTCCAGGGTACCCACTGTTGCATTCAAAACCGAGCCAAAACCATTAAGAAATCTGGGGAGGGAGAATTCAGCACACAGTAGGTGAGAAAACAACAGTCATAAGTGGTTAAAAGGTTAGGAAGCACTAATGTTAGGATTATTAGATAATATCATACAGACTCACACTTTACATTAAAATACAGAGCCTTGACTAGTGCCTATAAGATTCAGAAGAATTTAAAACTTGCCTGATAGCGTTAGTGCCCTGTTCCGGCTTTGATTTGATGTCTCTGAACTGGAGATAGAAAGATACATTAGAGCCTTCACATCTCTATGCTTTAAGTTAAATTTAGAAACATACAGAAACACGATGAATTATGGTGATAATTATGAATTACACCATGATATAGCCACATCTCAGCCAACTGTATGACCACAGATGGCTCAATTCTGGCCCCAGACAAGTTTCAGCACTGGTTCCAGATCAGCCTCAACTAAACCTTCGGTCCAACAAGTGGACCCTATCCCTAGCACACAAAACAACAAATAATTACAGTTAACCTGAACCCTATCTGGCACGTGTGCTCACCTGTGTAGGTCTGGGTTTGGTCCCATTCTGAATGATGACAACGGTCGCCCGAGTGCCAGCTGGTATGTTGCCTAAAAAAGCATTTCCAGACCCCAGATTCAGCTCAAATGGTCCATTAAAGTTAAAGTATTCCTCATTGGCCTGTAGGAGAAAAGATAACTCAATATCAATATGTCCTCCAACCTTTAGTGTATACTACTCAGAACAGACCTCTTTAGTTTAGTGCTATTGGATAGTTAGTGTACCTTATAAGACTCCAAGGTAAAGCTGTTGGGTCCAGCATTAATGTTCAACGTTCTGTTAACCATGTTGATGAACTTCGCTTGGCCTACAGTGCTTGATGGGAACTTAGGCAGGGTTTGCTATAAGAGAAGATGAATTGTATGCGTGAATTGTGGCTCATAAGATAATGCGTATGCAAGTTTGTCTTTATGTGCGTTACACTCACATCAATCTGTATCTGGACCAGGGCGGCAGCGATGAAGGCTAGAGCAGCAAGGAACATCCCCACAGTCATCCTCTTCAGCGGACTGCAGTGACGTAAAAGAGTAACACTTTATTTTATAATCCTATTTAGCATTTACAATCAGAATATAAACAATTTATATACTATAAAGTAGTTGTAAGCCAATAAAAGGACATTTTAAAGTGTTAATTAATGTATTTCTTAACAATTACAATAATAATCTGGTGTATAAACAAATAATAAATTATTGATAATTCAATTAAGACACCTGTAATCATGTAATTTAAAAGATAAATAATTAACAATAACAAAATAGTTCATATAATTTATACAATGGCTAAATTTAATAAATACATATTTTAATGTAGAGTGTCATATAAATGATGGACAAGAAAACTGACAAACATTCACTAATGAAAGCAATGAGATACAGCTGAAAGCTCCAGAAGAAATCTAGTATGTGGACCTCGAGTTAAAGTACTGTTTAAAATATAAAACATAAAAATAAACTCACGAGAAGTTTAATTTGCACTTGGAAATCAGCGGGTAGACCAAACTGTCCATGATTGGCACCAAAACCAGGATCAGGATAGGGTTGACAGTCTGGTGGGGAAAGAAGGTGAATCTCTCTTTTAAGGCCCATTCTGTAGAGTGACCT